TAAATTAAATTTTATTATTAATTTAATTTAAACTTTATTTTCAACTTTACTTTATTGCATTTTTTTAATACCCAAAAATATTCTTTCATATAAATTTCTATTACTTGTAAGCGCTTTCGAGCATTAGCAACAGAGCACAGCGAAATTTTTTTACTTAGTTTCAGTTTGCAGAGTACACATAAATTTACAAAATCAAGTAAGTAGTAATTAAATTATTTTTTCATATAAACAAATGCGTAGTATCGATAAAAGCAAGAAAAAATACACGCTTGATAATTTATAGACAATATAAGCAAAAATAGCAAATAAATTGTGCCAGAGCGAAAAAAATCATTCACCGCCTGAAAGTATACAACAAATATAAAATAAATTAAAAACCGCCTAAAAGTGGACCATAATTATAAGATAAGTTAATAGGCGCCTATTAGTAGGTAAAGCATTTCGTCTGTATAGTTTAAAGCAATTTTTAACGTAGTCTACTTTAGGCATTTTTTACTACAAAAAATTGATTTTTGAAATTTGTTGGAACGAATTCTCCTTTTAATAGCCTTTGAATATCAAAAATATTAAATTATTTTACCACTAAAAGGCGATACAATTCTTTTAAAATGAAAGATAGTCTCACTTTTTTATTTATGATCATTAACATTTGAGAGTCTGTATAGTGAAAAGCTTTTTTTATGAAAATTATTTTATGAAAACGTAGTCTACTTTTAGGAATTTTACTACAAAATATAGAGTTTTGAATCGAAGAGAATTCTCCTGTTAATAGCCTGTGAGTATCAACAATATGAAATTATTTTACCATTTAATGGCAATACATTTTTTTTTGTGAAAGATAGTCTACTTTTAGCCAGTTTTTACTACAAAATAAAGGGTTTTAAAATTTGTGGAAAGTATTCTCCTTTTACTTATTAGCCTGTAAGTATCAATAATATGGAATTATTTGACCACGAATTGACAATAAGAAATATTTTTGTGAAACGTTGTCTACTTTTAGGCGATTTTTATTCAAAAGAATTAATTTTCAATACATTTTCGAAATCATATGACCTGGCACACTTAAAAATATAAAAATACAAAATTATCTTTTCTACTTAGCGGCAAATTGAAAGTTTTTGTGCTAATTTCTGAAAAAAAGTGTTTTTAATTTCAAAAAAATATATATAATTCTTATAAATGCCAATTTGGGATAGAGAGCTTTACCAATTATAACATGTGCTTTAATTTTACACAACTTGCATATAAACTAGCGTTTATTTTTTGTTATAATTTCTCTCAATTTCATCAGTTTGCGCAGAAATAATTAATTAACTGCCATCAAAACGAAAATATGCAAATTTAAAAAAGGTGTAAATATTTAAGAAAATAGTATGCTTTCATTCATTCATTGTTGCAGTGAAGAGATATAAATAAAATAATTAAAAAAAGTAATTTGTTTCAAATACTTTGCTTGCTAGGAACATAGTCACCGCCATATTGCTTTTCTGTTTTAACACTTGCGCGATTTATTTTTGCAACGTTGGTTGTACTTTGCTTAACATTTGAGTTTTCTATATAGAAAAAATATGCATAACGTCTGGTCACTTTATTATTGTTATTAACATTATTTAAATTTTTTTTTACATCAGAAATGGAATATGACAAAGTATAAAACCTGAAGCGATGAACTTACGAGTAACGAGTACTTTGAAGTAACGAAAGGCGTTTTTACACACAATTTGGCAGTCAAAATTAAGTACATACATACACATACATACATACATACACTAAAAGACATATGCACTAAAGAACTAGAAACGACAAAGAAATTAAGAAAAAATATGAACAATTTTCATAAAAAAATGTTTTTAATAATTATGAATTTTCAATACATCCCTGAATATTTTGTTAGTTTAGAGAAGTGAAATTTTTATTTTTTGTTATGGTATATTTGTGTTTTTAAATTTTGTAAATTTTAACTATTCTGTTTTGAAATGATGGTCGAAATAAACAAAAAAATTACAACACAACACATGTAACACCAATAAATTATCATATACCAGTAAATAACAATAAATGCATACTAACAATTAATATTATAAGATAATTAATTATTAAAATTTTTAAATATTTTTAACTGTTCGGCACGCAGTCTGCTGTATGGTGTTTTCAAATCGCATTTGCTGTGTGATACAGTTTGCATGAAAAATTTGTTGCTGTTGTTGTTGTTGTCGAAAAGTGAATGTTAGTTCTCTCCTAAAATGTGTTTGTGTAATTTTTAGCGAATTTAATTTTTTGTACAAATTTCTACTTCTACAACATTTTCGTGAAAGTAATTTAACTAATTGAGAGGTTTTCCAATTTTACAAGGGATCGCAGCTGCTGGGCAACTTGTTGCAAATTTTATACAATTTTATTTACAATATTTTTACAGAAACAATGCAATTTTTTTTTTAATTTGATATTTGAATTTTGAAATGTGTGCTATTTTTGTGCACATTAGTGTAGATTTTAAGACAAATTGTTATTTTTTGAATGTCAGGAAAAATAGGGGTTGTTTTTAAGGGGATTTGTGTTTAAACTAGGTAATGCTAAACTTAAAAATTATGCTCAGTTTGTAATATGGTTGCTGAGAGATAATCCGGGTGTCAAAATAAGCAGTAAAGACAGTTACTATTAAAACGTGTTCTGTCTAAAAAAAAACATACAGAGAACGAGAGTGATAGAATCACCCAACTACAACTATGGTTCAACAATAGCTCAAACCTTCAGACATGAGGAGCAATCAAAATAGATTACATTAGTTGTATTTGGTGATCTAACGGCGAATGCGTAGCAATAATATCGCCGACATGCTAATAACCCATACAAAAAAGCTATTAACACCTAAATAATAGTTATGAACTTTCAAGGTTTTTGCAGTTTGGCTACTGAGAATTCGGAAGGACGCCATATTTGAATTCGCTCCATATTAAATCAGGATTTTTTTATACTCTGAACAGGAAAACGGTATATACCATATAAAGTGTATATATAAATGATCAGCTTTACGATGTCCGTATGTCTGTTTTACTATATACTATATACTAGAGCAGGTCTATTTCTATACTTTTGCAAGAAGTTGTTACAGAGTATAATAGTTTGGTTTTCCTAACGTTTGTACGTATCACTTAAAAACGAGCGAGATCGATATAGGGTTAGGTATATGTAAATGATTCGGATGACGATACGACTTGAAATCCGAGTAACTGTTTGTCTGACACGCCGTGCAGGCTGTAACTTGAATAAAAATTGAGATATCTTGATGAAACTTGGAATGAGTTCGAATATGGGCGTATTTGGACCACTGCCACGCCCACAAAACGCCATTAACCGAAAAGCATAACTAAGCACTATTTCTATAATTTGGCGCAAAACAATTTTGGGCAAACAATTTTGAAAGCTTGTTTGTGGTTCCGCCCTTTATTCAGTATAATGTACGTATCTTCTAAACCACTTAAGCTACAACAACCGAATTCACCTAACGCAAATATGATAAGAAACCCTACCGACAGGATGTAATCGGATGAACTCGAGAAAAAGTGAGCGTAGCCCTTTAATAGTCTTAACGTACATATCTTCTAGACGATTGAAGCTACAATAGCTTTAGACAATTTGTATAAGAAATATTTCCAATAGTGTATTATAAAAATGGATGAAATCGTATGGTAGCCACCCCAATCTCCTTATAAAGATACTCTTAAAAAGTGCTACAATCATTATAAATCCTGTGTGATAGTATGTGAGGGATCGAGAGGAGCCGGTGTAAAAAAAATTAGACGAAATCATACTGTAACTTACGCCTATTTCCCATATAACAAAATTTTAAATTTCAATTGAGGATGAAGAGAACCTCCGGTATAAAAATCACGAAGAAATTAATAGAAAGGGATACAACTTTTCACGAATAATCCCTTTGGAGTATTCCACCTTGTGACCAAGAATGGCTGAAATCCAACAAAAACTGTTTAAGCCACAAGGTACCGAATATTTGGACCTCTGTACGCCTATATGTGAGTTATCTCTATGAAAATGAAAGAGCGTGTTTTACTGACAACAGTGTATCTTTGTGTCTAAAATGAATGAAATTGGGCGAAAACCTGACATAACCCTCATATAGCAAACGTATAGGCGTGTGGACTAAAGTGAGAAGACAAACATTCTCCCAGCGCACAGGTTTGGGAACCGTCATGTTAAAAAACACCCCCAATGAAATATAGAAAGAGGCTTTCGATGACGACCACTGCAAACCGGTGTCTGAATTAGGAAGGTACCGTTGCCCAACTGGTTAGCTCTCGGTAGAGTGAAAGCGGACATCACCACCGTTCAAGAAGTGCGATGGACGGTACAAGGACTGAGAGGAGTAGGTTCTTGTGTCACATAAAGGAGATCAAATTCAATGTGGAATTCGAGGTGGGAGAGAGACTCCGTTGCCGAGGTTAACGGTTTGCGTTTTAAGGTATTTCCCTACCTTTAATTTTTCAAGTTTATTTAAAACCAACAAATATTTTATTTTTTATAAGTTTATTTCGAAGCAGACGATGGTTACATATCAAGAACCGGTAGGTTTGTACGACGGAGCGAGCGTGAATTTGCATCCGCCTGGGTGCTGCAGTATTTACAAAGAACAATAATTTTTTTTAAATACAAACAAGTTTTGGAGTTCCTGTGATACAACTCAGAGCTAGTTCGCTCTACCTTTTCTCGAATTCTACTGAAGCTCTTAAAAAGTTTCCAGCTAAAGTTTTATGCAATATTTAACTAAGATGTGGACTATTATGGACTAAGATGCATAAAACCACAGAGGTATCGAAACTAAAGGAACAACGACATCAAAAAAGCAGGAATTCTATGGGACTTGGGCACGTTAGGAACCACGTAAAATCACTTTTGCAAACGAGTGCGTAATTTGTGCGTTAAAATATAAAGACACGTGTATAAATTGTAGTAGAGTGCGAGAACTGCCATATATTCATCAGTAATGATCACCAATTCATAATAGACTCTCTTACGTGACACCAATTGTATTGTATTAACGACGATTTGTGTACAGGTGTATACGGTGTGTGCCTGTATGTGTATGTGTGTGTTTATATTTCATTTTGGAGAGAGAGAGAGAGAGTAAGATTTTAGTAGATATTGTGTGACCAATAGACAGAGAGAGAGTTAGACAGAGGCAGATAGAGAGAGTGACAGTGAATGTTTTGAGAGAGAGAGAGAGTTAGCGTATGTTTACCGCAAATCTAGGCGTTTCACTGGCCGGTGTCGGCAATGCACCAATTTGCAGGTGATTATGATCTAAACTATTTAACTCATCATCGTCATCGGTTCTATAATTATCAATTCCATTAATGCCCAACAATGTTCTAATTCTATCGTTATTTTTCGTTTTTGCCGGCGACAGCTCAAGACTTAATAAATGACGCTGATGGTTCAACTGCTTCTGCAGATGACGCGTCATTGACAATGTACTGTCGCAGCTGCGGCTACCACTGCCGCCGACTGTGCCGGCAGTTGTGACACCACCTGACCCATTCTCATCCAGATTGTCACGCGAATTCGCACTGCAGCCGGCCCCGGAAGTTTGACGCGACGTTGTGGTGCGTAAGGCCGCCTCTTTGGCGAGCTCCGTCAAATGACACGATATAAGCAATATGGCGGCCGATCTAGCCGCACCTGTACGTGATGTAGAGACGAGTATGCCTTTCGTACCGCTACTGCCGCCACCGCCACCACCACCCATACCATGCACACCAGCTGTAGCGCCACCGGATGAGGCGCGTCGATTGCCATAGGAACCGATTGAGCCACTAGAACGTAAACTGGAACGTGATGATGGTCGACCCGATTGTACTGTCAATGGTATACCTGGAATCGGTGAAGGCATATCAGATTCAATGGTGGACATAAATTTGTTGTATAAACTACTAGGGTGCTATGTGTAATGGAAACAGGACAGTCAAAGAAAATCGAGGAAAATTTGTGAAGGAAAGGAAATTCGTTAATAATGTAAAGTAAAGTGTTAAGATAGTGGCTTGAATTTTGTTTGGCATTCAGATAATATACACTTATGCTTTTTGAGTTGATTTCACACTTACCTGTCTCGCTAGAATACATTATCGGTGGCGGTAGATTCGCATCGCCAAAGTTTCGAGGACGTGGATACTTTGTTTTGGTAAATAGATGTAATACCATACATATAAGACCGGTAAGTACTGCTATGCCCGTTGCCACACCCAATAGAGTAGGCAGATCAGAATTTAATTCCTTTAAGTCTATATTTGAAAAAGAGATTGAAAGATTTTAAAGAGAAAATGTATAATAAGCTTATGAAAAATAATATAGAAGATGGTTAAAAATTATAGAAAAAGATGTATTAGAAGGAAACCTAAGCTGAAAATATATTTGATGGAAAAATATGTTTAAAAATGTCTACTTTGCACAATTTAAATGAAGTAATCTTGGAGAATGAAGACATGTTAAAAAAGGAAACAGCGTCAGATGAGAGAAAGAATAAAAAGAACAAGTAAGGAAGGGCTAAGTACGAGTGTCACCGAACATTTTATACTCTCGCATGACAAGTTTCATCATGATATCTCAATTTTTACTCAAGTGACAGCTTACACGGATGGATAGACAGACATTCGGATTTCAACTCTGCTCGTCACCCTGATCACTTTGGTATATATAACCCTATATCTGACTCTTTTAGTTTTAGGACTTACAAACAACCGTTATATGAACAAAACTATAATACTGTCCTTAGAAACTTTGTTGCGAGAGTATAAAAATTTTGGCATCGAAGACGAAGAAGGTGCTGTTCTGTAAGCAAAACTTTAAGATGAGCATCTGGAAGCATAACTCAATGAAGTCTGTTGACAAGCACAAGAAGAGCTCGGAAATTTTTTGGAACACACTTAAGCAGCCATTTAAAACGTTTTAAAGCAGCCAGATACATTCAAAAGCAAGTAGATTGGGGTATAAATGAATTTAAGCCAAGAGTCGTTGGCTAAAAGCTAAAGTGGTTTAGCGGCTATTACGACAAATGACAAATGTTTCTTTGGGAGCAAAGGACGTGTGCGATATTTCAGTTCGGCCAGACAGCAAACCACACGTACTCCATGAAAAAATTACGAAGTTGGTGCAGTTTATTGGCCGGGGGCGTCATTGGGCCGTAGAGACTTCTTCAGTTATGATCAAGACCGACACGTTAATGTGAATGGAAATCGCTACCGCTCAATGATAACCAAATATTTTTGGCCCGAATTGGATGATATGGACACACAGCGAATGTCGCAATTGATTTATTGAAAACTAGGATTGATGAACGTGTTATCTCACGAAGTGGCCCAGTCAATTTGCCACCTCTGTCGTTCGATTTGACGTCATTAGACTATTTCCTGTGAGGCTACGTCAAGTCAATGATCTATGCCTACAAGCCAGAGACTATTTCCTGTGAGGCTACGTCAAGTCAATAATCTATGCCGGCGACGATTGATGAACTTCGTACGATTCAAGTTATGCTTGAAAACTGTCGAAAATTGGCTTAGCGTCTTAACTTCTGCAAACGTGCCCGTTGTGGCCATGCAAAATAAATCGAGTTCCGTACATAATGGCATAGAATGTATTATATATATATTTTATAGGGTCTAAGAACATTTCCTTCTGGAAAGTTATAGAGACAAAATATTAACGTAGTAGAGAGTAGCGTTTCATAAGTTCAGAAACTGTGACTTTGGAATAATTATGAGCAATATATGTATAGGGTGGTTTTGGAGATTTAGGATTTTTTTTATCAATGAAATAAAAATATGTTGAAACTAGAAGGTTATAGTGAAAAACAAGGTTTTCTTCGGACTTTGTTTATATACAATTCTTTCAATAAAAGACTCTTTCAAAAAATTATAAAATTTATTTTTTCCTCTAATATATTAAATAAAAACAAATTATTCGTTTAACGTTTAACAATCTCACCTTTCGTACAAAAAACACGTCGTGTTGGCTTCGTGTGACTAACCGAGTGAAAACCATTCGCACATTGACACATGGCATTGTGTCGCACTTGAACACAAAGGGAATTTTCGTCGCTAAACATACAGGTTTCGTCGTAGAAACACTGTTCGCCCAGTTTTTTCGCTGCAAACGTTTCAAAAAAGTTAGAAAATACCATAAATTAGCTGATAAGTGTGCACTTACGTTTATCGCAACCTTTTGTCAGTCCAAGCTGCACTGGGTAATTTCTTTCACAGCCGCAAATCTTTGTCTCCCTATCACAGGTGACATGAATTAATGAAGTTTCGCATGTCATGTTGTTGAAGCAGGGAGCACCAATATATTTGCCTTTAGCTGTTATTGATAAATTGATAAATAATCAGATGTTAATAAATAGACATAGTTAGTAGTGACACAACTAGCAACTACAGGGGTGAATTATTTTAGTTGTCAACCATAAATGTTTAACAATATAATTTATTATGAAAAAGTTTTAGATTCCTTTGATACGGTAATCGATCTTAAAGAGGAACTACGAAAAAAGTGACTAGCAATGAGAGCGAAATTCCTGATTAAAATTATTTAAAATTAAAAAACAAAAAAATGTTGTTAAATTAATACAGATAATGATCGAAAAATTAGTCAAAATTTCGATTTTGACCAAATGGTGGTTTCTAAAAAGCATTTAATATTTTCAGAAATTTTTTTATATTAGAGTGGCTTAAAAAATTATTGTCGAAAAACGTATTGCTACGATCATTATTTGATAAGTGCATCGCAGACGCGATTCGTATGGAAATATCAAGTCAATCGGTCGGACCGATTCGATCACATAAACCACGTCCAGCGCGCAGTGAATAAACTATAGCAACTGTTGCTGAGGGTGTACATTAAGACCGTTGGGAAAAGACTTGGCGCTTTTCACGTCGCGATCTTAAATTGAAAGCCGACAAAATACAGGTTATGCAAGAGCTGAAGGCGCTCATCCTTTCTATGCGATGAGGCCCACTTCTGGCACAATGGGTATGTACTATAAACAGCAAAATTGCCGCATTTGGGATGAAGAGAAACCTGAAGAGATTCAAGAGCTGCAATTTTGTGGGCCGATGGAATCATCTGTCCACATTACTTCAAAAATAATGTCGTTGGAAAAAAAGGCGGCGACACATCGCATCAATCAGGGTATTTATTGAGAGAACACTTCGGTGAGCAGATAATTTCACGTTTTGGGCCGGTCGATTGGCCACCAAGATCTTATAATAACACACCGTTAGACTTTTTTTTACGGAATATGTAAAGTTTAAAGTCTATGCGGACAATTCCGCTTAGATTCAGGTGTAAAACATCACGTGCATCATCCGCCAGTTACCAAAGGATGGACCTTCTAGGACGTACCCGCGGACAACATTTGAAAGAGATAATCTTAAAAAAATAAATGCCAAAGAACGTTCTTTCGAATGTTATTAAACTTTGGCTATTAAATTTGTAGTTTCTGTGTTTCTGCTGGTCTACCAGCAAAAGGGAATAATTTCATGAATTAACTTTTTGCTTACTCACCAGATCTATTGTTAATTAAAGCCTCGTATTCATCAAATTCGTCATCATGATAGGCGGAATCATCCTCATCATCAGGCACATGAACGGTATCGCGCTTTGTAACGCGCTGCACTTTCGCTAGGCTGGTGTTGTTCGCGTACACCACAAAGTCGGCTGACGCCTTGGCTGTTGCTAACAATGAATCATTCACAATAGCAGTTGTCAAGTTAACGGCGACAGGTGATGGCATTGTTATAGTAATGTGCATAGTTTTAGGCGATGAAACTGACGCTTTGTCTTGGGCACTGTTGTCAATCACTATTACATTGCTTTTCGTCACATTTTCCGCAATAGGATCAGCAGTAAATGACGACAAAGCGACCGCCCCCACAGAGAGCGCATCATTGGCCACGCTATTACTATTATTGCTATGCATTGTCGCATTGGCAATGGCTGTTGCCGCGACGGAGGCGCGCATCATTACGGTACAATAGATGAAAAATACGAGCGTTAAATAGAAAATGCTACGTGTATCGAGGCCACTACCAGCGTACGTGGTTCCGCTTCCGGTGGCAGCACCAAACGCACCATAGAGACCACAACCGCTGACATCACCTGCGTCGGCATCATGTCGTACACCGCCACCGCCACGACTCCGGAGGCATGTGGTGCGCAAAAATTTGCTGAAGTGTGTTTGTGTAAGGCTTTTATGGCAACGTCTCGCATGCAAAATGTTGGCGTCGTGCACACAACGCTGTCGTGTATTGTGGTTGTGTGGCATATAATCGTTAATATCAGCTACGACATCGGCATCTTCAGCGTACGCAGTCACGCACGCGTATGTTTCACGCATGTTGCACGCGGCTGCTGTAGCGGAAGTCGCTACAAGTGCATACAGAGCAGAGAAGCGAAAATAGTCGACAGTGGGCGTTAGCTGTGGTTGTTGTTTATATTGTTCTTGTGTTTGTGTTGTTGCCGCTGTCGCGCTCGCATGTCGTGCATTACACAGTTGCTCTCGCCGAATTGGTTCTAGTCGTTGATTTGATTGTTGCGTTTGTTGTTGTCCAATATATTCGTTGTGTGTAGTGGTTGTGGCTCTGCTACAGTTGGTTTTGCGTATGTTATTTTTGTTCTTGTTGCACGGTAAGTTTTCTCTCGTACTCGTCGCTAGCTTTGCAAACTCTTTCTGAATCCTCGCATGGAAAAGTTGCCGTTTGTTGTTGTAACTGTTGTGAATTTCCACAATATTTTCCATCGCTGGTCTTGTGGACATGTGAAGAGAAGTTTGTTTTTGTTGCTTTTGTGTTAGTTTCTTGGAAGACTATAACGATATTAGGGTTGTTGTTACATGTTTACTGTGCGCTTTTGTTGTGAGTATAATTAAAGTATGGGTTTCCGTTGTCACTTGTGTGTGTTTTTTTATTAAATTCCTTATTTATCCTTTTGTCTATGTTTGGAACATTCTACATAGACATATCTGCATACATAATATTAGCTACTCCAGCGCTTATCAGAAACCAGTTTGGCTTATTTTACCTGTATTTTATATATATTTCGAAACTCTGATACGGTTATTTTTGCTGAAAATATATATAAGAAAGTTAATATTATATTCAATAAATCAGTTCTAGATATTCGTTATTTTACAATTTAGGTACAAAGTGGCAACACGATTATTAATTTATATTCAAAGCACTGTGTAAATTGTGGATACAAGATTTTGGAAAATTTATTTCGATAATAAATTTGACTGAATAGAAATGATAAATAAATCCATTTTTTATTTAATTTTTAACCTCTCATTTATAGATAAGCTCTAAACATAAATGACATAAAAATTAATTTGACGTTCTGCTATCGATAAAACTGCACTAAATATCGATTTTATGTCAGCACTTTGTTGGCAGCTGTTTACATTCAAATCTGCTGCCAGTATACCACAACAAAATGCATTTTCATTATTTTTATCCAATTGTAAACGAACTTTTTTATTTTAAATAAAAAGTATTTGCATGTATTATTTGTTAAAGAAATGGTTAGAATACGTGGCGTGAAGTGTGCCATATCAACTGATGGACATTTACTTAAAGGCGACGGCGTTCTTATCACCAATCCAAAGCATGTTGAATTCGCGCGCAAACGTAGAAAGGATTTTCGTCCAGAAAATCGTGTCTGTGCAGATTGTGCAAAAGTCTTCACACATTTGTATAATATGAAACTAAAGAGTGCTATAGAGAAAAAACAACGTCACTCACTAACTGTGTCCTCTTCGTCGTCAGTGGACGACTTTGATCGTATTGTTTATAAAACGCCGCGTACAAAGCATTTGCGCGATTTTGTGAAGCAAAGTGCACCGTACAATTTGGGAGGAAGATCGCAGGAATTAAGTGAAATTGTTGAAAAAGAAAATCAACCTAATAACGCAAATAATGGTAATACCAGCTACGAATCAACGCATTCCCTAATGGTTAGTGATGATAGCAGTATAAATTCCACAACTAATATTGGTTTGGAAAAGCTGCCGTCTCCCGCTGCTCATGAGGTTGTATCAGATATTAGCGTTAACTCACAGCATTTGTCTCAAGATGTAAGACCATTAGGCAACGCTTCAACAACTCCGACCAACGATATCAGGAGTTTAGAAAATAATATTGGACCAGATGCTCACGTAGTTGCAGACGAAGTTCTGTCAAACGTTGGTGCAAACTCACAAAATTCATCAACGACTGCCACAAACAACGCCAGTAGAACAGAAAGTAATATGGGACGAGATGAGAATATCACGAAGGATTCCACATTATGGCGTAAACCTTTGCAGCCAGCAAAACGTAAAAGAGTGCACATCGTGACAGGACCGCCAAGAAATCATGGATCTGTAAATTTACCAGCGCCAACAGTAAACAATCGCGCTGCACCAGTTTCAGCAAATTCATCTACAAGCAGCGATGACGACTTCGATTTCCTACCAAGCTTGAATGCAGTTAATGGAACGCGTTTACCGCATATACAACCAATACCGAAACGCCGGCAGTTCCAGCACGCCATACCAACGGTGCAGGATATCTATATGCAAGGAATTACCGGCGGTTAGATTCGACAAGGAAGATCTGTTGCGCAATTAATTTAAAATAGTTTAGGCCAATTGTTTATATTTATACTGATGCTCAAAATTAAAAAAAAATTATTGATATTTAAGTTAAAAGTTGTTAATGTGAATCATATAGTATATTATAATTAGACTTATATTTATATTGCATAAGACTATATTGCGTACTAGTAAAACTATTATTGATTGCATATGTATTTTTAAAGCATGTTCGCTTATTTCAATAAAACATGTAAAAACGAAAATATAGTGAAAAGCGTGTTTTATGCTTCACAATAGTTTCCGCCAGTCCATTGTTCAACGTTTAAGTTAGCAGCAAAACATACAAAGAACGCCAGTCTATTTTTTTTATGTTTTTTGTTTGGTGTTTACTCGTTTTTCAATAAGCTCAACTTTTTTTGTCATTGAGTTAGTGTAAGTTAATTTATTGCAACAAGTCAACAAGTTTAGTAAGAACAGAATAGTCAACTGACACTGAACTTTGCTGAAGGATGTTAATATATAATGGATGGATATATAAGTCTAGTTGGCTTGGCTGTAAAAAGTTTCCTTAGGCTTTAATGGAAAATATAAAGTTTTCAGCTAGCTTAAAAATTTGTTATAGTCTAACTTTTCTAAAAATTTCTATATAATTTTTTAAATTTGCAAAATAAATGTTTAATATTGCTAAAATGTTAAAGATCATCTAGAGAATGAATTTATGCTTTTAATATGGACACCAATCCAGTACAAATAAATTGAAGATATCTTGTCAAAAAAAGCTTGGATGGGACAAGGACTTGATTTTTTTTTTATCATTCGGTTTGCATAGTAGCTATACGCTATAGAGTTCCGATCCCAACAATTGGGAAGGGAAATAATTATGTGAAAAATTTTTCACATCTATATCTCCAAAATTGAGGGACTAAATATACCTTGTTAAGGGGATAACAAATTATTAGAACGTTAAAATTTTTTTTTTATATCTACATAAATTTACATATGTATGTATGTATGTAAATTCGTATATGTCGTTATGTGTCACCACCATTGGTTTTTATTGTTACTGATTTCATCACTAATAGCTGGCGTGGAAGCATCCTCCAACATAATAACCACTTCATCACAACCAAACGTGATAATAGTTGACTCAGTAAGCAAGCGTGAAAATGTCGCCGGGAGGTAAATGCGGGCGTTGCTGAATCAGTTGGTCTTATAAATTGCTTATGTCTATTATGCACATTAGTAAACAGTAGAAAAAAATATAAAGAAAGCGATAATGATATGCGGAAAAACACTTGCTGTTGACAGCCCGCAAAAGTATGCTTCATATTTGTACATGTTGGTATGCAGGTCTCTTCAAAAGTGTCTATTGCATCAATAGCCATATATGATGTCATGCGCTAAAAACCCTATAGAGAAATTTGCGCACAGCACATATGTAGATGAGCTCATACTGTTGGTGGTTCGATTGGATTTCTTTTTCAAACCAGGACAAAATAATGCTCTATAAATTTATGTATATATTGGTTTTCGACTGTGTCGTCTTGTTATGAAACATATGTACATATACGTATGTATTTATACTTATAGAATTCATAGCTTCTTCTCATGTAGATTATATAGCATTCAAGGGGCGTACCCAATGTGACATCATAAAAAGTCGATTGCGATACAAAACTGGTAATCGGAAATTGTAAATAAAACGCAAAATATTTAATATTTCATAAATATTTATCCTCATCGAAACACTTTTCATAAGCACTTCTTTGGATGACCTTCAACTCTTTCTGAGAATTTTTTCTTCGATCGGCTAAAAACAGGTTCCACGAAGCGGCAAATTCAGCTTGGAAAACAAGAAAAACAACAACAAAAAATTACACGGAGCAAAATCTGGTGAATACGGTAGTTGATCGATGGTATTCATTGGTTTTTTGCCCTAAAAATTTAGTTTTCAAAACAACGCGCGTGAAAATAAACCGATGGGTTCATTGAACTGAGCGTCTATGTACACTTTAGAAGACCATAAACAAATTGATTTTACATTGTGTATATTAGTAAATATTATATTATTAAATATTATTTTTTTTTAATTTCACAGCAGCTCTATTTCTCAAAACTTTTTCACAACCTTTAACTAAATTCACTTCAACTTGTTGCCATTCAGCCAATGGCGAACATCGAAAGGGCTGTTGCGTCTTTAAATTTTTCTTGCAGCGCCCATTTACATAGTGTAGTTGTCACTCCATATAGCCGCGCATTTGCCTTGCGGGTATATAGGGTGCAGTGATAGTTGTCGCGTTGCAGTTTGTGACAGGCTGTGTGCATGCGTGTCGCTGACTGCCTGATGATAGTGGTTTATTTAAAGTAATGCGCTTAACGTGTAGATAATATAGAGATGTGTGTGGGTGTATAGCTGTTAATATACGTGTGTATGCATCAGCTAGTATGTTGTTATTTACTTGTTTCACTTAAATATTTAATCGATTCTATTATATAATCTCATTAGTGTCGGCAAATTGCGGTTGACTGAGGCGTCATTCCATCCTTTTTGTTGATTTCATTTTGACTTTTCACTGTAAGCCCATGGACCTGAGTTGACACTTAATTTCAACAAGGTAGCTGGAAGGGCGCTAGGGATAGGAAGATATTGCAGTTATTTTACGACAATGATTTGTGTTGTGACATTAAAAATGAATGAATTCTCAGAATATCTTTAAGAGCATTTAACAATTGCTTCCATTTGCCGGCAATGCTGCTTTGCAGTATTAAGCATTCGCCGAAATATTACATATTCTTAATCAGTTATTGTTGTTGTAGCGGCAGAACACATCCATTTAATAATTTCCAGAAATGACGCCGAGTTGGTAGTTTTTGGCCGGTTAAAAATCTGTGTTCGTTCTACTTACTTAGACCCGTCTGGTTCTTAATCAATAACAGGCCTCGGTTATTTTCCAAATTTTTACAGAAATATAAAATAACTTTGAATAAATAATATCCCTGATCATCACTTTTAGAGAACCAAGCATCAAGACTAATTATCAGAAGTATATACTATGAGAATTCCCAGTCGGGTCTACATAACCGGAACGAACCTGGATTTTTATCCGGCCAAGGAATATCAACTAGGCAGATTTCTTACCGATGAACAACAGCATGCAGAAAATTTCTATTTTACAGCTTTTTTCAAATGAGCCGAAAACGCAAGCTAATCGGCTTAAAATATGAAGAGTGATTTTGGATACCTGATACTGTAGGTCATGCGCAATTTTTTTTCGTCGATTCCATTCCTTTTATTTTGATGGCAATGCTCCGTAAGACCAAACATCGATAAAATATTGGAAACCGTCGAGTCTTATCTCAAATAAGCCTAGTAGTTAGGCATGGCACAAGCCCCGTTTGGTAACATTTAAATAATACTGATTATAAAACGAAGGTCTTTATAAGAGTGTTGGACGAGTTAACGCAAATAACCTTATGGACCGAATTTCCATCTCTGAATCGCCAATGAATAGTAACAAAATCAACCCTTTCCTGAGGCGTGTGGTTACGGGTGGTGAAAAGTGGATCACTTAGGCAAAAAAGGTCGTTGTAAAATCGCATTGAGCCGGAGCAAACGGTGACCAAGACAGTGAATAGTAAATCGCAGGAATCCATAGAGTCGGAACTATTCACCGAATAAGCTTTGCTTTTTGTCCGACTAAGGACTGTCTTCTCGTCAGATCGGTATTGAAGAGTTATAAGAAGGTTAAAAAATACAATTGCGACAGAAACATTCGATTTGAAATCCTCTGCATTTAAGAAGGGCAAGCTTAATTCAAACATTTAATCGGTTCAGAAATTCCCTTATACATGTAACGGGAGATCCACGTAGAGGTACTTCAGTACAGGAAGATTGTGGAGAGTCGCTTCGGCGCCAGTTCCAGCAACTCGGACTGACGTATGAAACGACTTAGCGCTTTTTAAGTCGAATCTTAATTGAAAGCGTTCAAAATACAGCATGTGCAAGAACTGAAGCCACTTGACTCTCCCAAGCGGCATTGTTTCACTCTATCGACTCTTACAAACTTCCAAGAAGATCCCACGTTTTCGAGCTAAACTTTGTTCAGCGATGAGACCCATTTCTGGCTCAGTGGATATGTAAACAAGCAAATTGCCGCATTTTGAACGAAGAGAAATCTGAAAAGATTTAAGAGCCGTCATTTGTGAGCCGGTGGAATCATCGGGCATGCTAAAAATCACAGTTCCACAGCTGAACTTCAAGAACGACCATAGTTAAACTCGAGTTCTGTCATACAAAATAATCTTAAATCAGTTTAAATCATGCTTAGCTGAGCTCTACCATTGAACAACATTCGCTTATGGCAAAACAATATTTAAGAGTCGATATCATGCAACTGTTCGCCAATGAATAGTTAAGGTAAACAAAAACTGAAAAGTGTGACAATAAAGATCTGTACAGGACATAAAAGGTATGGTCCAACTACCCAACATCATCCAGTTATACCGTTACAACAACGCTAAAGGTAACATTTATGTGCACTGTGTGTGTGTGTGTGTGGATCCCTGCTTTGTTGTGCTGCTTTTATTTACGTGCCTACCTTTCATTTTCAGTATTCTCTCTTTGCTGCAAGCACTTCGAGCCATTGTATCATGCACATTGTCACCGGCATTTTTTATTTATTGATGAATTGTTTTGTTTTCTGCTGCTGTCAAGGCAAAGTGTGAAGCAAACAAATAAACGTTGCCAATGTTTTTTCCTCTGTTTTTGTTTTTGCTTTTTACCGAAATACCCACCCATGTATGTGTAATATACATATTATATAACGGTTAACATTTATCATCGTGTAACGACATCCTACGAAAAAGCCAAAACAAAAAAAATGGTTTGCTGGAAAAGCGAGAAACCTACACGACCGAGATTATCTGTGATTTTAGGAATGCATATGCGAAACACGTAGTCTCGAACCGCTCGGATTTAGTTTAACACAAAAACAAGGACGTCCCTGTATTAATCCTCAAATGCACACTTGGTAGCACTGACAGCGGAGTTGCGGTCTAGTATGTTTTGCTTGTGGTTGGACACACATGATATTATTACTGACTCGATTCCATTGAATGGCACTTTTTAATATTCAATTTCTGTGCAGCAAAGTCGTTTCGGTATGCAAATCTTTATTGTTAAGTATGATTGTATGTAAATTTCATTGTTTTTCCTCTTCTAGCGTAGGTATAAAGAGGCTATATTGTAGGTTTCACTTCAAGTTGAAGCTTAACGACAAAGGATTTAGTGGATTTTCAGTTTCGGTTTTAATAAGTAATTAAAACATAGTTCATTGGTGAGGCACTTAAGTGCTTACGTCTTTGCTAAAGCTGCTTTGAGCTTCCTTTTCTATTTATAGAATTGTACTTGGTAGAATTCTTAAGCTTTAACGAAGAGATAATGGGTGTTTATGAGCTCACTTCTTCTTTACTGGCGTCGACTCGATTATAGCCGAGTTCACAACTGTGCGCCAGTCGTTCGTCTTATTTT